ATTCCTTTTCTACCACTAATTAGGTAAAAAAATTGTCAGTCAACATTACACCGATATACAGATTTCATTAAAAAAATTCCAAGTTTTTTTTAATCGCACACAACACAACTGTGCCCAAGTTTTTTTTATCATTAATAATCCTGACATTGCTTGAACTATTTTAACAAATGTCGGGACTCAATATCCCGACTGCTCTGAGATGAACCGAAGACAGTGCGGCGTCGGACTCGATGCATCGGTAAAAGCTTCTCAAGACGAGAACGACCTACAATAATGAAGACAATGAACAGAAACTAAATCTCAACAATTCGTGGTTCCGCGCTAGTTTCTTCATTACTAGACTGCGTCCCCGTCTCCGTCCGCGAGGAATTAAAAAAGGACCCTATGTGTTCTTCTAGATTATCCTCTACATTTCTGCCAAATTTCATTTAGATCCGTTCAGCTGTTTAGACTAGAAACTCTAACAAACATACAGCCTTCCATTAATCAAAACTTTCGCATTTATAATATTATTGCTGTTGCCCGCGACTTCGTCCACGTGGTATTAGAAAATATACGAACTATACAAATTTCAAAAAGCTACGTATCCCTCCGGAACCGGACATTTCTCGGAGATGAAGCGTATCCCATGTGTACTCCAGACATTGTTTTATATCTGTGCTAAATTTCAATAAGATATGTTGAACCATTGCAGAATGATCGAGTAAACATTAAACAACTCAATTAATAAATCCCACTGGAACCGTAACTATTCCAGGGATAAAAAGTATCCTATGTGTTCTTCCAGACTATGCTCTAAACCTGTGTCAAATTTCATGGAGATCCGTTCAGCCGTTTAGGCTACAAAGGCTAAGAAACATCCATCCATCCATTCATCCATCCATCTAAACTTTCGCATTTATAATATTAGTAAGATTTATTAGATAAATGGTTTTGCTTCGACCCATTTGATGTTAAGTGTTGTCGACAGATGGTAGTTGTTTTATTAAGTGGATACATCCATTGAGATACGCTTTAGACAGATAATTATTAAATAGAAAAGTATGTCATAAAACTAAGGTAATTACATCCATAAATCATATTCATAGCATTTGTATAGCTTATCACAAACAATAGTAATTATTAGTATCTTCAGATTTATGGAACAAAATGGTTAGTTATCTGTTATAATTGAACAAGATATAGTGTGAGATAAATTTCATATTACTCCTAAGCACGGTACTGTCTTCTAAAAGATGTACAGCATCGCAGAAATACCAACGTCTTTTCAAGACGTCAGCGAGCGATACTTACTTCAACTTCGACACTTTTCTATTTCATCTTTTATAAATCTGTTAAAAATTCAAGCTTTAAGATATCATAATAGAACATGGATGTATTAGCGAAAAGGTTGCACTTTTTTATTTCCTTTTTTATATTACGAGCTGTTGCCCGCGTCTTCGTCCGCGTCTTATTAGAAAACATACGAACTATATAAATAACAAAAAGCTACGTATCCCTCGGGAACCGGACACCTCGAGGATGAAGCTTATCCCATGTATACTCCAGACTTTGTTTTACATCTGTGCCAAATTTCAATAAGATATATTGAACCGTTGCAAAATGATCGAGTAAACATTAAAGAACCGTAACTTATCTCGGGATGAAAAGTAGCCTATGTGTTCTTCCAGACTATGCTCTAAACCTGTGCCAAATTTCATGGAGATCCGTTTAGGCTACAAACGCTAACAAACATCCATCCATCCATCCATCTAAACTTTTGCATTTATAATATTAGTAAGATAGTAGCTAGATATTAGAGCAAAAATAGATGCAGACGTTCCAAGATATTTAGATTGAGACATCAAGCAATTTTAAAGGAAAGTGAATACTCTGACAAAGTATAATATGATCAAATTACCGCGAATTGTCAAATTATTAGAAGTAGGGTATATTTGAGAATATCTGACGTATTGTATGGAATCATTAGCGGAAGAAGCAGTGCGTAGTTTCTCGGAGACATGCGATGGAAATGCTTTTTATTTTGGGCTATTCTACATTTCGATATCGGAATTGCCAAGCGGTAGGTTCCGCGAGCCCATCCGACCGTGAACAGTCTGGAAAAACGCAAGTTTACACTTACACATGTATAAATATAACGTCGCCCAACGACAGTGATTCAGTTTTGCGCGATCGCTTGATACAAAATGATGGTACGAACGGGGTGAGGGTCGTAACAAATATAGAAGAAAGTATTATTGTAAATAGTGACGCACCACTCGCCCCGGAATCGATAATTAAAACAATCAATATGATTAGCGAGACGTGGTATCGAATCACAATCGTTTCATGTTTAGCCGTGCTGTCCACAGCTGAGCAAGTATACGATAACAAACTTACGAAACTTTGGTCTTTATCTGGTGCATCGAAAAGTGATGGATCTGCAATAGTAAATGTGACCAGTGCATCTATTGTGATACAACCAAATGGACAGATATCTTCGCGGAGAACAAAAGATTTAAAAGGTACTCCTTCCGATTACGGTTACGCGTTTAAACCTCGAACAATACCAGTTCGGGATCATCAAGACGAGAATGTTTATTATTCTCAAGATGTGAAGTACAAATCGGAAGTACCTTTCCCTGGTAATTATCATATTGCCAAAGAGAAAGGTAGTGAGAGCCTACATGAATCCCCGTACAATTATGTCAACGAAGGTACCTTTCATCCAAGAGCTATCCCTTTAATAATTAATCCAGAATTCCAAGGAAGATCATTGAGTGAACACGAGGAACCTATTCTTGAAAAACCTGAAGGATTTTCGGAAGTCACTGCGTCAAGGAGATCATTGTCATGTGAGTATATGATAACATTTATTAAATAACTAGCTTGTACCAGTAACGTCCGTTCAGTAGTTTAGGCTACAAACTTACAAACATCCATCTATCTAAACTTTCGCATATAAATAATAGATTGATCATAATGATGAAACTGATCACTGCAACAGAAGACATGCGCATTAAGCGTAACGATTATATAATTGTTATGCGTCTGAGTGTTTATCCGGTGTTAATGAATGAAGTAAAATCTAAATATTCAATACCACATGAATTAATGATATTAAATAGTGAACAATCAATCATACTGATATTACAAATGCGAGGGTTTAGATAGATGGACGTTTGATAAAAGTAGACTTAACTTCTGTACGTATCTCGATGAAATTTGACTTAGATGTGGAGAATAGACTGCAAGAACATATCAGCTATTTGATTTGTTTTCTTTTTAAGTCCACGCCAACAGTGTCAAATGCGACAGCTATTACTTAACAGAAAAAAAGGAACGGATTTCAAGGTATCCAGTTAAATCAAACTGGCAGCTAATGATTACGCTTTAAATAGATGAAAAGATCTATTAGTTTCACCTACATCCAACTTTTGCTCTGAATTGTATTCGCATTGACAATTTCCATTTAATATTGCATCTAAAGCTATCATTACGGTCCGTTAGCAGTCACCGTCTAGCGAACACCAACTCTCCCCAAGACCCTAAAATCCATCGATACAACTTATAATCTTTTCCGCTTGATGACTGCGAAATGTAAATATCATGAATTATCGTCGCGTGGATAGTGAAATGACATCGTCACGCCATGTTACAATGAACCCAATATTCGTGATACTAAAACATTACTACTGTTTATTGATTTATTATTTATTGACAAAATAGCTATCGCCCACGATTCCCTCCGCATGGTATTAAAACAAAAGCAGAAAGTAGCCTATGTTTTCTTCCAGACTATGTTCTACATCAAATCCAAATTTCTTCAATACTGTTTAGAAGTTTGTTCTCTTAAATAAAAAGTTACTGTAAATATATTCAGCAGTTCTACAGTCAGCCTTTAAATATTTTCTTGGTACAATGACTTGGGTCCAATCTACAGCCCACTTCAGGAAAGATTGCCTTGTTTTTTTTTACAAAAAAAAAAAACAAACTCCATCTCTTCCTATAATTAATTAGAGAACAGTGAGTGCAAACGAAGGGATAAAAAGAAGGTAACCGCGTATCACTAACCTATTTTTGGTACAGATACATTTATATGCTGAGCTGTATTGATTTTTGTTCTGGTTGTAGCTTTCAAGATAGAACACCGTCAGTTTCCTCAACTGTACAAGCCGTGAGATACGTCTAGTTTAATACAAATAAACTTTCATGCTTATTAAGATTTGTACGATAACAGAAACGCAACTCTATTTAAATTATAAAATAGAAAAGCAACACTCGTAAAGATTAAAAACATTAAAGTATTATAATTGATTCTTTTTGCAGTCTTAGGAGGTGAGGATGACGAGGAAGAAGTAGACGATGACGAAGAAGAAGAAGAAGAAGATGGAGATGGAGAATACGAAGTCAGTGAGGATACTGATGATAAAGGTCACGGCACACATGTCCACAGACCTCATAACAAAATAAAGAAGAAATTGGCTAAAAAATCGAAGAAAGTGACCAAATACATGATGCCCTTATTATTAGCTTACAAATTGAAATACTTCGCTCTAGTTCCTGTGATGATAGCTGGACTTGTATTGTTAGTAGGTGCAACAGGATTGGCTGGATTCTTCTTTGCATTATTCGCAGCAGTTATGGGACTACAGAAAGGAGGGTATTAATAAATTTATGTCGACGGGTTGCTCGCAGATGCCATTTCAGTTAAGTTAGTTAGATAATTTCAAATACTTTTACCACTTTCCTTTTATTATTGTAAAACTGTTTTGAATCAATTTCGAATTATCTGAGAAGTACACAATTTAGTTTCTAGTCCAATGTAACAGCTTTCTGTATCTATTATTTCTTTCATTTCATATTATTATTTGATTAATAATATAATGAAATGTTTTCAATGTTGTAAATATTGATTATTGATAAGGAATTTGTTAATTATAAGTTATTTATTTATTTAAATTAACATGTAGCGTTAACTAGAAAGATAATGTAGTTACCATTAACCATTGTTTATGACACAGATGAATAATATAAAAGTTTTCAGATTGGTACTGTGTTTTACTGTAACCTTGAATTTATTGACCTTGCTTTTCTCTCTAATATAAGACAGAGTATGACGTAAAGAAACAATTAAATGACGTAACATCCGGGTGTACCCGAATTTTATCGAATTTTGAATTTCGAATCGTATGAAATTCGAAAATCAAATGTCACATACTATATACTGGATTCGAACTCGAAAACTATAGATTACAAGTCATTAGCTTAACTTCTGAGCCACGGACGCTTTTGACTGACCTGTAAAAATCGACAAATAAATCTGTTACTACTTATTGAGTTTAGTAATGCGATTAAATGTAATAAAAATTGCATAGTAACTGAGGAATGCTTCGAAGGTCGTTAACCTTACATCAGAAAGAATAGCCATAAATCACGAAGGGCCGAACCCAACGCCTTGCTCAGATTAATATTGCGATAAAAGTTTATTTAGATTTATTTCTGCGGTAACTTAAAGAAATAGAGCGTAATAATAACAATTATTACGTTAATAAAATATAAACTGGAAAACCATCATTTTACAAATTTAAAAAAACATCAATGCTGTATTATTAATAGTACTAACATAGTGACCAACAATTAAATTCAAAATGTGGTTTAAGAATTTATTTCTCTTAAGAATTTACACAAATTCACTTGATGAGAAAAAAAAAATTACCATCTAACATTCGCATTTTATATCAGTAAAATAATTCAATGTTGAGGAAGTTTGAGAGTAGCCCCCATAGTAGAGGTTAGGAGTAAAAGGTTAGCATGGCATGGGCATGTTATGAGGAGGGATGAATCGCATGTTACAAGGAGAACGTTAGTTATGAGTGTGGAAGGGTACATAGGTAGAGGTAGACCTAGAAAGAGATGGATGGATTGTGTAAAAGGTGACATGACCAAAAAGGGAGTGATGACTGAGATGACGTATGATAGAGTTATGTGGAGGACAAAAACCTGTTGCGCTGACCCTACGGGAGTAGGATAAGGAGATGATGATGATGATGATGACGCAAATCTTACTTTAGTAATTAATTTAAAAATATTTTTATACAATAAGGCATTATTGTGTCATTCATTAACTATTCGAATTATCTATTGATCTTGATACTGCCGTTTTTTAAACATTTCTTAACATAAAAACTAATTACTTCTTTTCATTTTTCCGACTTTCCCTAAAACAAATTAAGGTCTTTAATTGATAATTAAAAAGTTAAGTACTGTACTTAACATAAAGCTCAAATACTAATGTTCTACTTAAGACCATATAAGTATAAGTTACAGTAACAAACTGCGTAGTTCAAATAAAATTAACATGCGAATAACATACGTGTATATCTAAATTAACTTACTGGTCAAAGTCTAATTACTTAAACTTAACGACACGAAAACATAATAGTAACTTAAATATAAACATTTGAAAAATAACTAAATAGTGAAGTAACTTAGGGAAATAAATAAAATATTAAAATAATTATGTCTTATTTAAACGGTCTTGTTTGGGATAATAATTATGGGATAAGAGAAACCTTATTCAATAATGTACCTAAAAGTGAAATTAATTATGACAATGAAAGTTTTAATGACGATGGAAACACCAGATGGATATTAACTCAGTTACCTTTGCAGGAAAGAGCATTTAAAAGTAAGTAATTCCATGATGAGTTATTTCTAAAATATAGGGTCAAATTATATTTTGCAAACAATGACTTAGATAGATTGTAATAGTAAATTTAAATTAGAAAAAATACCTTAATGTTTATAGTAATTTTTTTCTTCAAAATAACATATCTTACTAATATTGTAAATGCGAAAGTTTAGATGGATGGATGTTTGTTAGAGTTTGTAGCCTAAACTGAAAGGATCTGGATGAAATTTGGCATAGATGTAGAGGATAGTCTGGAAGAACACATAGACTACTTACTTTTTTTTTCTTTTAATATCACGAGGACTAAGTCGCGGGCAAAAGCTAATAGTTTAATGGTTCAAATCACTATAAATTTCAAACACACTTCTATGTTGACAGACATGGTTCCTAAAAAACTGACTAAAACAGCACCTGAAATGAGAAATATAAAAAAGGCTAAAAAGCTAACAGAGAAGAAAATTAAGATACACAAAGGAAAGAACAAAATCAAGAAATGTTTCCTTAAACTTTTCAAGAAAAAAGGAAAGAAAGGCAAGAAATTCGGAAAGCATATGCTCCCTTTAATATTTGGATTAATGTTAGCCAAAAGTTTATTAATACCAATTATCCTAAAGGCTCTCGCATTCATTTCTGTTAAAGGTACGTATATTTTATTATACAACAAAAAGTAAAAATATACATATTGTTACACCAACACGATACCAATAAACCTTTCTAAAAAATACACTAACTTTAGAAGTTAGAGCACACGCACACCTTTGATTTGCAACTTTAATTGTGCAACTAAACAGTTGAATTGTCTGCCAAACAATTGTGCAATAGTTTAGTCAAGGGTGTGCGCCCGCTTTTAATTACGACAAAACGAATTCATTTGTTTCAAGCATAGGTGTAGGCAGGAATTGTCGATAGGCAGACATAGTCCAATTTAAAATAAACAAGTAAACAACAGCATGTATTCTTCAGGTCTGATGATGGGTTTCTTCTCAACTGTCCTCGCTTCAATGCTCAGTTTAAAAACCATGTTTGGATCTCACGGATATCAATCTCGGATAGACGACGCAAATACGCGAGTGGAAATCATTCGATTACCAAAAAACGATTACTATGATGACTTTCATAGTAAAAGAGATTTCATGCCTGTTTATAAACGGATAAGTTATAATTAAAAATGTGTTAAAATGTCTACGTATTAATAAACTCATCTACATCTCTACTAAATTTTAAAATAGTTTGCAAATAACTCAAAAACTACTGGGCAGATTTCAAACATTCTTACACCATTAGAAAGCTAATAGAATAATATTGGCTATATTTTTTTAATTTCACGCGGGTGAAGTCGCCAGCAACAGCTAATGTAGAATCTTTACAGCTTTAACTAAACTATAGCACGACTGTTTAGTCTCTCTTTGATTCCTATGTGCTTATATGGTGGTGCGCAAACTACTCGATTTTTAGTTGCAACTAAACAGTTGAGGCTGCGAAACAATCGACAATCGTACTACAGTTGTGCGATAATTTAATCAAAGGACATGCATGCTATTGTTCCATTTTAGAGTCATATATGTGTCCTTTTAAGATGAATATTAGATAGTGGTAGTGCCCGCTTTAACAACATAGCACGAATGGGCCGGCACGCCCGGTGTATTACCACGACCACACAGAAGACAGGCGTGAAGTGGAAGTAATTCCGTGTTTCGTCTGCTGAGTGTGGTGCCGGAGGCCTAATTTAAGTCCCTTACTCCTTACCACCCTTTTCTCATAAGGAGAGGATGGGAAGGGGAAGTGGATTTGACAGTGGAGGAGATGCATAGGAAGGGGAAATAGCCTTTTATGTGCGTCTCCTCCTCCGTCGGATAAGGGTAGGCAACGCATCTGCAATTGCGGATGTCTAAGGGCAGCAGTCGCTTCGCCATTTTGGCGGATTCGGGTGACCGCTTGCTCGTCTGCCACCTTATGTTATAAAAAAAAAGAATCTTGTAACATCTGCTTTCAAAATTCGTACATTTCTTAGTCGATGTTCTCAATTAGAAAGTATAAGTCGGTTCGCCGTATCCTTGAGAGTTTGGAAATAAAGGCTATTTTACATGTAAATATAAAGTTTTTATCCTCTTTTATTTTATGATGCTGCTGTATAAAAAGGTAACTAACACATTCTTTAACTTTAAAATGTAGTGGTTTTTATAAATAAAATGTCGCATGAAACTATGCCGCAATTTCGGGAGCTAAAACTACCCTATCGAAATAAAAAACCCATATCTTTCTAACAACATTCTTTTTACTCAAAAAATATATATTTAGACATGACTTTTAAGAAAGCAAGTAGGTAATTAATACGTGTACTAAATGTAACAAAGGTATTTTTCCTGGTAAAAATAAAGTCGATTGTTTTATAACGTCAGTGTAAACGCAGCTTTAAATCTAAAAGAAAGTTGGATGTCCTTGACCTGTTTAAAATGAGAAAACTTCAATCGCCAGATGGATACTGGTTCAGAATAATGGACGCTTTGGAAGGTCAATGACATTTATATCAGATTTACAAAGAAATAGAAAAAGAATTCGAAATTATCTCAATAATTAAAATTTTGCTTACTTAATAAAATAAAGCAGATCAATTTTTTAGGCTGAAATTTATAGAGCGTACTTAGACTTATCTAACGAATTAAACTAATATTATAAATGCGAAAGTTTAGATGGATGTTTGTTAGAGTTTGTAGCTTAAACGCCTGAACGGATCTTGATGAAATTTGGCATAGATGTAGAAGATAGTCTGGAAGAACACATAGGCTACGTAGTTTTTATTTAATTCTACGGAGTTGCGGGCGTAAGCTAGTAGTAATATATTTCGTAAATAGAAAAATGGCCATAGCCCTTAAATCTCAATTCAAAAGGACTATAAATTTAAGCCCTGATATTACATTTAGCAAGTATCCAAAGTTAGGCGAAATTAAAGCAAATTCAATTTTTCTGTTCGGCTTTTGCAACTTTATTCGTGAAAGTTTGACATATTTTTGATTGCATAGACTGTTATTTATTGTTTGCCAACTGTTACAATGGAATAATAAAACAAACTACACACGTATGTAAAATGTGAATAAATTTTGCAAGATTTTATAGTAGCTCAAAATATCTCTGGACTGACACGTAAATATATCGTCATCCCTTTCATTCTCTTTGACAAAACAGAGACAACTATAAGTCTTAAATAAGGCACGTTACTCGATAGCCTAAACATTGATGTAAGACTAACGGCCTTATTCTGATACGACTCTTACCTGACAGAAGTCCAAATTTTAATTACATTTGGAGTTAAAGCGTCTCAGCTTAAGACATTGTTACATATTTTAATGTCGTTTCAGAAATCGGTTGTTAATTATTATTTTTCTAACGAATACTTTATGACAATTACCTTATTCATCTCTAAGTAGTGTTAATACACCTGATTTCTTTTTATTTACTTGCATAAATTATATGAAAATAAAAACTCATTTCTTCAAACCCATAACAAGATTAGCTCTATATCCTAAAGTCACGCCTCCGAATTGTTGATAGTGAGTCTTCGCCCATATGAATGAGAGTATACCAAGACCTCATAGTCTTGATAATTTGTTTTTCAATTATTGTTAGGTTAGTTAAATCCGGTATATACTTTTTTAACAATATAACGCATTACTTTAGTGATGGAAGACCTAACACCTCGTTTTTATCGCTTTTTGTTTTATTATGAGCATGGGACTTCTCGTAATAATTTAAAATTCAAAGATCTCTCCTTTGCGATTATAACTTTTCATTTATTTCGTTTGTTGTTGTTGTAAGTCAATAATAAAGTAAAATAAAAAATTTAAAAAATGTGTCATTTTTTATTCCTAAAAATAAAATATAACCCTCAAGTATCAAGAACCATTGATCCACGTAATTCACGGAACCTAATCCAATGGGTCTAAACCTCACAGAATTTATTCGTCTTCCCTCTTTGTATATAAAAGCGTGGGCATCCCGGACGCGTCTCAATCGATCCCCGACAACAGCCTAAGTAGGACCCACTGAATAGTTAGCCTAAGTTACAATTAAGTAACATGATGCGAGTGTTGTGTACGATCTTTGTCATCGCCGTGGTAGCCTGCAGTGCTGCGCCGGGACCCTCTGAAGATGATGGGAGGATAGAGCTTTTTTCAGGAGTGGCAATAGAGCGGTAAGTCATCCAAACTAATATTATAAAGAGGAAAGATTTGTATTTTTGTATGTATTGAAATAACTCAAAAACTACCTTACAGGCCGATTTCAAAAATTCTTTCATCATTAGAGAGCTACGTTAACAATGAGTAATATAAGCTGTATTTTCTGTTATTTTTTTATATTCACGCGGGTCAAGTCGCGAGCAACAGCTAGTATATATTTCACATAGCACTGTATTTTGTCAGTTGGTAGTAGTTTTAAGTTACAACTTGATTGTTGAAACACCTTATAAAATGCTAAGGTACAAAAATGATATTAGAAACGAAAATGAAATCAGAATTAATCATAAGTAGATTCAGTTATTAAAAATAAATCATGTTGTAGTTCTTCCCCAAGTAGTTTTTAGTAAATTTTGTGCATTTTTGATATTGGTATTAATTTATAATTTTATAACCCTTTATAAATATTTTATTTGTTAATTAATGATTTCGTAATTTTCAATTATTTATCTTATAAAAAAAGGATACTATTTTGGTAATGTATTTCAATAACCTTTTAAACAAATCCCACTTTCTATTGTAAATGAAAAGATTTAAATAATAATAATTTACAAGTTAGTTTCGTATATTATATTTACAATCTTAGAATCATTAGAGCAAAAGACATCAACGAGTAAAAGAATCACATTTGAACTGCATTATAAAAATTAAGATAAATCTTGAGGGATATGTCGATTATTTTCCCAAATAGTCTCATATTTTTTTATGTTTTGTAAAGAAATTTATTGATAATAATTATACACTCTACCTTTTTTTTTCGGGAGGGAAAATCTTCGAAAGATACGCTGTCTTTTATAAAAAGACAGGGTTATGTGAGATTTTTACTACCTACCTAGTCTACCTATAAAACATATTTAGATTTTTTTGATACAAAAATTGTACTTAATAGTGTGTAATTTAAGGTTGTTTATTTATTTAGGGATGCAAAAGGTGAAGAAAAGCTTAATGTAAAATTCGAACCAGGAGAACTGCGTGAAGCGGCAAGAACTTTTGAAGAAGGTAAGAAATTAAATCAATATACCTTTAACGTATCTCAATCTTCAATTAAATTTTATATAGTTCGATTAATAACAAAAGCGCCTATAGCCTAATGGTTTGGTGTACGGACTACCGATCTTGAGGTTGAGAGTTCGAATCCCGCAATTCGACTATTGTCGTGAACCATATCCTAGCACAAGCCAAGAGCTTAGTTGAAATGGTTAAAGGAAGTATTAGTAAATTGACAAAAATCTGCTAAAATTTTTAATTAAGAAAAAATAATGACATTATTTTGAAGACTCAGAAATTTCACTGTCAAAAAACCTACAAAAAGTTGTCTACATTAGTTTTAAGTAAACTTTAAGTAGAACTTATCGATATAAATAAGTTTAGTTAAGATAAAAAAAAATCTCATAAATAAGGTCACTCAATATTTAGTTTAGTAGCTAAAGACCTAAATAAGTTTTTATACGTCCATGCAAAGTTCAGTCTGCAATAAAATATCGTATGCGCGCACAGTCAAAGTAAAAGAAAGTCATTGGTCGAGTTCGTTGGCCTGTTACGTGAGCGGACGCAACGCTCGGTCAAGGTTACGTCGTCGGCTCCGATACGATCGAGACTCGCGCGAGAAATGATACTTGAGAACATAGCTACATAACATACGTTTAATACTTACTAAACGTACTTACCTAAAAACGTATTACCTTATAATAACCATATTACCCTTTCCTTCCATTTCCTCCCCTGCTAAATCCACTTAAAAACATTAACTTACCCTTGTCCCTACGAAGAGTCGGCACAGTATGTGCTGCTCTTCCATACATTTCTATCAGCTGTCCAGAATCCACTCCCTTCTTAAGCATATCCTCTTTCACACAATCCACCCTTTCTTCAATCTTCCTCTACCTTTGTAGCTGTCTGCATTCAATTCTAACACTTTCTCGTTTATGTTCACATTCTCTCCTCGCATAACAATGTCCATACACCGCTAACCTTTTGCTTCTTAATTTTTCAATCACTGGCGCTACTTTCAAGATAATTATTATTAATAAAACCCCTTTCTTAGCTCGCGGCAAGATCAAGAAGTACACTCCACTTCTAGCTGGCATCGGAGTCAAGGTGATTGCAGTGATCGGGCTGCTTTTCGGGGCTCTAACATTACTGGTCACTAAAGCATTAGTGGTCGCTAAACTAGCCTTCCTAGCTGCAGCTGCGCTTGGCCTACATAAGTTATTAAGTGGCGGTGGACTCAATAACTTAAGCGGAAAGGTAATTTATTCATATCATATTTTATAAAGAGGAATGATTTGTATTTTTGTATCTATTGGAATAACTCAAAAACTACTGGACCGATTTAAAAAAAATTCTTAATTAATTCTACGTTTATTTTCAGAATTTTTTCATCCGTCTGAAGCCTTTCGTTGGCATTGTTTATTGTTGGTCCTTTTCATTCCAAGTTTATAATTTATATACAAAAGTAATAAAACTATCTCTTAGGTTTTAACACTATTTCCAGATCGCAGGTTTCCAGTCATCACCACAACAATGGACATCACCCACAGCGTCTGCAGCATCCTATCCTTATGCTAGATCTGCGAGTTTAGCCGCCGACGCTAACGATCTCGCTTACAAAGCACAAATTAACTCATAAAATTCTACACAATAACAAAACATACGTTTTTAAATGATTAATTATAAATATGTTTGACTAACTTTCGCCCGCAACTCCGTCCGCGTCTAACTGAAAAAAGTACCTATGTATTCTTCATTTCATGGAATTGTTCGTTCCAACTTCCTTCGTTGCAAATTTCATGGAAATCTGTTCAGCCGTTTGGCTACAAACTCTAACAAACATTTATCCATCTAAACTTTCGCATTTATATTATTAAGTAAGATGTACATTTGACAGTCGATTTACTTCGCCTGGTTTCATTCGGTTCTTTGTTAGAAGTCTTATATTTAACAAAATAAATTTAAAATTTACATTTAATTTATTAACTTAATACGTAATAAGAAAAATGTCGCTTGTAAAACTGTCTATTATTCAATGAGTGAAAATAATGAATACTGGCTATCGTGAAAAAATAAATAAAAAAACAAGCTTTCAAACGCCGAAATTTTGACATTCAATAATAAAATTTATCCATTAAAATAGTTATTAAATCTATTATTAAGCTTTTCCAATGATCTTTATATTTATTATAAGACGATTTATTATTAAAATTTTAATAGTATTTTGTAGGCTTTAATTATTTTCGGCAGCTGAATTTGATGGTGCAATTTGATGTTTAAAAATTTTATTTAAATTTATTCCTTTTATTTTTAGTGTATATTTCCGCTGCTAAGATAAGACTAGGTTAAATTTAGCAGTGAAAATCTAGGGTGTTCTTACTGATAACTTTAGTTTTAAAATTCATTGAAACAAATAGGTTATTTTTTAAAGGATTACAAGTGGCCAGTATGAAATTAATTGTATAAGATTAGTGTAGTGTTACAATACACCGTGGGATTCTACGATCGTAACTGAATCAATTTATTTTTTGAAATGAGAGGGTAATGATTCCAGGTTTATTAGCTGTGGAAGTCCACGCTATTTTAAGACATTGTAAAAATAACGAAGTTTGGTATAGACAGGGTAATCGTACAAATAAAAGTTTCACTTTGAAATAATAGATTTATTTAAAAAAAAAACGTAGCATTAACGATATTTACAATTACTTTCTTAAATTATATTTATAATTCAACATTTTTTTTTGTATTCATTTATTTATTATGTTATATTTTTAAGAATAATTTATTTCCATGTTTACGGGTAATTTGTCTTCTCTTTTATTGATAGCTTATTTAAAAAAATAACTAATAGATCATTGCAAAATACTGTGTATCTAGGTTTAAGATTAAATAAAAGTTTTTCTAATTATAAAATACGTGTTTATTTACTGACCTTTATTTACAAATACAAATTATGTACCATGTTAAAAAAAACAGATATAAGAACAGTAAATTAAATTTATTACAATCTACGACCAAACAACTAACGCCATCTAGTGTTGGAAAGTGTAAGGTATTTTACTAGAATTTGAACAAAACATTTATTTTAAACAGTCAATAATCTGTTAATTAATCTAGTACAATTATTTCAATATCTATTACAAGAAATTAAATTTTAATAGTATTGTCACTGGAAGTAGAACTTTGAAGTGGCAATTAAATAAACTTATTTTTAACCTAAAATTAGGTAAAGCAAATGTTAACGTAAGCATAACTGAGATAAATTACAAATCTAATTAATATTATAAATGCAAAAGTTTAGATGGATGCTTGTTAGAGTTTGTAGCCTAAACGGGTGAACGGATTTCGGTGAAATTAGGTTTTTTTTTCGTACACCCCTGACATTTTAGTCGTCAGAGACTTCGACGTTTATTCTTACATTCTTTACAATATTATTTAATATTACAATTTAATTTATATTTAGTTTTTCTGGTGAAATTTGGTACAGATGTAGAGTCTGGAAGAACACATAGGCTACATTTTTTTTTTATTCTAGTTTTGTAATAAAATTTGCTAAGAAATATCGTGAAGCTCAAACAACAAAATCGGTGGTATAAAACTCGTGTTTTACGAACGTCGTATTATTTATGTTAACTGTTAAAGAACTATTTACATAAGTGAAAATTTTAAATTTATATAACCAGTACATAAACCAATACATAATTCCTATATGACGGCTGATAGAGATGTATGGAAGAGCAGCACATACTGTGCCGACCCTCCGTAAGGGATAAAAGCAAGTGGATGATTATGAGTACATAAACCAATATATTGAATGATTACAGTTATTCAAGTAAGTGGTTAATAATAAAAAATAGTAAACCTGGCTTTAACATTACGCAACTTAAAATAACTTTAGTTTCTTTACTTTTACTTAAACTTTAGTAATAATTAAATAAAGACCTTTAAGTATGTATTGGACTTAAAATCTAATAATTTATTTCTTACTAGCTTTTGCCTGCGACTCCGTCCGCGTGAAATAAATAAACAAAAGAAATTAGCTTATGTGTTTTAGACTATGTTCTACCTAGATCAGTTCAGCCGTTTAGGCTACAAACTCTAACAAACATCCATCTAAACTTTCGCATTTATAATATTAGTGTGAAGTATGATTAGTAATGTGAATTTAATTTCAAATAAGTATTTAATGAACTTAATATAAGAAAACATAGAAATTTTAAAGATAAATTTAAGTATAAAACGGATTAAGTTAACAATGGACAAGAGCATTGAAATAATAAGTAAGTAATATTTTTATATTTGTTTTCAAAAAGTATGAAAATCAAGACAATTTCATTCGAAGTATATTAACAAGTCAAGAATAGTTAAATTGTGATTTAAAAATAATTAAATTTTGTCCTAATGTAGACAAATTTTAATGTGAAATGAGGATTCGAAGTCGTAGATTTCTATTTTATCCTGAAAAACATGAGATGCACCACTCTCTATTACATTTTAGAAACTAAACATCGTTAACAGACAGACCCACTTTTATACTGGTTTTGTATTGTATAGAGCGTGTAAAAAAGAACAAATGCCATCTTCACTCCCACATATATAAAACAGCGTGATTACGTTCCTATATGTATACGCCTTTCACTTACCCACACATAGAAAGATCGTCGGAACAAAGAAAACATGGAGTTGCCAGGTGTAATTTTTATAGTTATTTTTACTAGATAATGAAATATCTAAATTATATCAACGTCCAATTACTGCTTGAATCCAATTATTCGAGACATGTTTCAAATTATATTACATGTGAATTAACTTTTTTTTTATTTTTCCCTTACTTTAATTTACATTTCACATCAAAATACTTACAAAGAGCGTTAATTCTATTAATTTATCAATATTGGATGAATACTTTTAACAATGTTAAAAAATAACATTCCTAGACTTTGTTTTTTATTCCGTTATCACATGAGTCGTAAAAAAGCATGAAGTTTTCAAACAAGGAATCTTTAATTGTTTAATTATTTTTTCATTTTAATCCCAAATAAATATATAAATAAAACCAAGAATATAAAACAAATCTTATTAACTTTAGGAAACAAAATCAATATACGACTCCGTAGTTTCCCCTGTCCTGATTTTCAATGAGAGAAACTTTCTTAACAACTACAAGAACAATGCGTTAGTGTGAGTGCCACTTTCACTCTACACATTTTAGTCGTATTTCTTTATCCATTATGATGTATTTAAATAAATACATTCTGTTATATCATTAAAAAACTTTCCCTCCGACTCCATTGACTATAAAAAATACCTACATCATTTGAGTTTCACTTTAAAAGTATACATATTTGATATCTAAAATTTTATAACGAAAATACCACTTAACCGTATTTTGGGACATTGCTTCGATTCCAGATGGAAACTATATTAAATACTAACTTCGGCCCTCGACTCCGTCATCGTGGAATTAACAAAACAAAAGTTAGTAGTTAGCGTATGTGTTCTCTCAGATTATCCTCTACATCTATGCCAAATTTCATCGAGATCCGTTCAGCCGTTAAGACTACAAACTCTAACAAACATCCATCCATCTATACTTTCGCATTTAAGTAAGGTAATATATGAAATATATAATATTTAACCCAATCATAAAAAAAGAACCAATAATGAGGAAAGGAAATTCTTTGTCATTTGTCAACTTTCAAAAGAAAACTCATAGAGGCTTATTTTAAATTTTTAGTATGGTTTTTAAATTGTCCTATGAGGAGACAGAATCAATTTAATTGAATCCAATCTTTATGTTTACAATTATTTTAAATTCAAACACGTATGTTTCAAGTGATTGAAAACAACTTAATAACATAATTATGTTTCATATTAAGATCTTTTAAATTCACTTAGTGATAACTTAGAGAAAATTATTCGCTTGGAGTAAACTTAACTCTTTTGATTATTTATAACAATAAAGTTCTCTTCGTAATCTTACTAGTAAATGTAAAAGTTTAGATGGATGGATGTTTGTTACTAAATATCTCCAAAACGGCTTAACGGATCTGTATAAAATTAGGTTTAAATGTAGAATACAATCTGGTTGAATACATAGGCTGTATAGAGTTACAAGTGACAGCTATTCTAAATTTTGTTGTTTCCACACATTAAGGGCCTGTCCTACTACTGGCTGATAGAGGCTCAGATAGCTTAAGACGTCATTGTCAGATAATGGGACAAAATCCGATACCACCAACACATATTTTACACGTTGGATTGTTATCAGACTATTCAAAAATTTGGTGGGACAGGTCTTATCGTAAAACTCTTGTACTTCGAATTTCCTTCCTCTAAAACCACATTAACTCCAAGTTTATTATCTAAATATCAATTAAACGTTATTTTAATTAAACTAATAAGTTAATAACATGATAACATACGTACAAAGCACCTGTGTTTATTACGGAGAGAAAAAAATCTCACCGCGTTCGGAATTTGGAGGCCACTGACTACGTCCGCTTTCACGTCGAGAGAGCAAACATAGTGCCCTCGATGGCAAGCAACCCTTGTAATAACATAACTACAAGTACAATACACTACAAAATAGTTCTTAACGCATTGAAAATAGGATCTGTAATACTATGGCCGTTAAAGTAGTTACGTCTAAATGAAAGCAGGGAATGTAGAGTTTCCATTTTTTGTCTGACTTATTTATTTCAAGTGTGGAACATCCAGTTGACCTTTTAGTTTAATCTATTTCCAATCAAAGAATTATTTTCTTCTTAAAACATCTTACTTCTTATTATATTACGAGCTGTTGCCCGCGACTTCGTCCGCGTGGTATAAGAAAACATACAAACTATATA